CAGTGAGATTGAGAAGGAGGATTCCCTGATTAGATGTGAGCCCTCGCAAAGTTTTCTACTCCTCCTCCTCCTCCTCTTTGCTGCACAAGCTTCCCCTTCCCTTCCTTCGTCCATCACTGTTTCTTCTTTTTCCCACCAGTGCTCCTCTGGGAAGCGGAGGAGTGCTGCAGATTGTTGTGCTGCCGTTTGACAGCCTAATTGATATCTCCGGCCCGTTGTTTATCTCTTCATCGGCAGCTCATCAGAGGGAAGGTGACAGAGGTTTAGGAGGAATTAAAAGTGGTTCAGGAGTCTAGTTGTCAGCTTGGAATTTCTAAAGAAGGAGAAGGTAGATGTCATACTGTGTTTTTTTCCTTTCTTTTAACTTCTCCAGGGAAAAGACTATGAAACCAATTAGATAGAAAGGTAGACTGGCATACTATATTCTCAGCACAGTACTACAATCAGTCAGTGTGTGTGCATGTGCCCGTGTGTGTGTTTGTGTGAGTGTGCTTTTGCCCAGTTAACATTTACACTACAACTAATGCAAATGGATTTATGCATAGAGTGCTCATTCTCACAGCCAAGGTGCTGCTGGGAAGGAGGAAGGTAAATGATTAACCTCATGGAAAAACCCTAATCTTCTAATCTCCCTTATTCTCTCCCTTTCTCTATGGATGCGTGTGTGTGTGGGGTGGGGGGGGGGCTTTCAGGATGGCCGCTGTCTTGCTTTGATCACTAATCCTTTCTCTGGCCTGACTTTGTGTCCCTCGTTCTTTTTTTCCTCTGCCCATCTCTCCGCTCTCCTCTCATCTCGCCCGGCCCGTTGCCATGTCTGCATTGTGAGCAGCTTATGTGCGAATATCTAGGGCAGGGTGCTCTCTCTCTCTCTGATTCCCTCTGCCTCTTGCTCCCCTGCTGTCCTCTGTTTTCTTGAGCGCTTAAAAAAAAGGTTTGGATTTTAAAAAGTCTATATTAATACATGGGAGTTATTGTTGTTGTTATTAAGTTGTTGCAATCACTCTTTCTCCATGTGAGTTGAAAAAATCCATGTTCCTAGATCTGTGCAAAAATATAAGCTAATATGAGACTTCAGCAAATGAAGTGGATGTTTCTGCAAAAAATCTCTTTTGTGTTCTTGCTAAACTCTGATGGAGGAACACCTCAGGCTCTATGGGCAGTACACTACATATGACGAGCAGACACTGGCTTAATTAAGACTGCTCATTATTCTTAGCATCAGCCTAACTTCAGCATGATTTTGTCCTCCATTTATTACAGTGTCACTGCATTTAGAAGAGCTAGCTTCAGGAAAAGCCAGCTAGTCTTTAACTACTTGTTGATGTATATAATAAAATCTTATCCTGTCTTTTAAACCCAGTTTTGCTGTGCTGAATGTCCTCCCTCATTCAACAGTCTTTCTTACATTCTCTCTTCTGGTATTCTCTACACATCCCTCCATTCCTTTCTCCATCTTCATTTCTCTCTCCTGCTCTGATATCACTTTGACCTTTCTGTCCTCTTTCTCTCTCGCTAGGTATCTATTTTTTTCTACTCAGTTTCAGGTAATCTGTCCAACCAGCTGAGGCGAGCAATCTCTCGGCTGCAGCACACACAAACACTCTCTCTCTCTCACTCTGACTGTCTGTCTGTCGCTCTCACAGTTCACAGCCCGTCTAAGGCTGCTGCCTTACAGTATTATTATACAGCATTTTCATAACTTCATAGAGGAGCTCAGTGGTTAGTTAGACAGTTGTAGCGCTAGTGAGACCTTGTAATCCCCCTGCTCTCTGCCTGGATCTCATTAAGCCTTATTTCCCACTGGGAATCTGGAGGTTATACTTAACGTACCTCTGGTAGACCTCAGGAGCTCCTCGTTGGCTCTCTGTAGTCCTGGAGTTGGTCCACATGGGGGCAAGACTGATCTTTATAGGAGCAACAACAGGCAACACAAAGTTTATTTGTAGTAGCCTTGGGGGAATTAAGAGACAACTTTTCTAGTGTAACACATGCTAACGCAAATATTACTGTGCCATATTTTCTAAAATCCTTCTATCTTTCTCACCTCCACACACATGTACAATAATGTGGAGGGAGCACGATTGTTGGTTTCAGAAAATTTAAATTTGTGGAACATATCCTTCGCAATTCTGCGTTGCGGTCAAGTTGCATGTTTGGTACACTGTAGACCCGGGTTCGAATCTGGGTGGGGTGGCTGCTCTTACCTTTCCGTCTCATATGGTGTCAGAAGTGGGATAGCTTGCCGTGGAATTGTCAGTTGGTGTGTACCCAGTGTGTGATGCGTACGAGGGACCCCCAGGGTTGGTGGACCCCTGTGTGTGTGAGGGACCCCAGAGATGGGTGAAGCACTAGTGGGTGGGGGCACCCTGAGATGGGAGAAGTACAATTGGCGGGAGTTGTGACGGACGCCTGTATGCGTGAAGTGCAATGGGGCGTCTCCCGAAGGGGAGTCTCCCGAAGGGGAGGGCAGTGTGACGGACCACTGTCACTACGGTTGAGTATGCGATGTGACTGCCATACCAACAAGCCTGGCTCTTTGGCGTTTCGGTCAAGTTGCATGTTTGGTACCCTGTACCCGGGTTCGAATCTGGGTGGGGTGACTGCTCTTGCCTTTCCGTCACATCATCCATTTACACCTGTCAACCACTGAAGTCAGTGCACTTAGTCTTTAATACTGAAACAATCAAACCATTACAACACATTCTCATCTCAATGTGTCATAACTGAAGATTTCAGACAGCGTGACAAAGCGTAAGGATTTTACGCTAAAGGTACCCTTCAGCGTCCGTATGAAACGCCCCTGTTTGCTACGTTGCAGCATCACAAGGGAGGCTAACCCTACCTGTTAGCAGCTGTAGGAAGTCAGTGACTTAGGTTTAGGTACTAACATTTCTGATGGTTGTGGTAAGGGTAGGGGCATCGGGGGGCTGTCAACACCTTTATTACGAATGTAGCTAGCTAGCTACCGCTAGCTAACTAGCACTTTCGGTCTGTACGGGACGCCTCAAATCGTCGGTATATGACGCCCTGAGATGAGAATGGGCTCACCATTATCTATAGTCAGTTGACAGAATGTAATCAAAAACTATGTTGATAAGGAATTCATCATTAAGTCATTTATTAAGCAAAGAATTCAAATATTGTATTTTTTTTAACTGTTGGTGAGATAAAAAAACAAGCCAATGGAGGACACCCCCTAGCCATTGGGCCCACTGTAATCTGAATGATTCAATAATGAATATAATCATCAGGTGCAGCCCTAGTTTATATAGTTTAATAGTTGGAGGTCTAATGGTGTGTTCACACTGAAAGCGAATCCAGCGTTTTGTTCTGCTTGATTACATGAAAAGTCAATGCAAAGATGCAAATTCGCATGACGGTATGATGCGAAAGCCTATTAATGGTGAGACTGTCCGGACGTCACCGACGGCTTCAGAGCGTTGTTTGGAGAGGACCAGGCAGAGTGGGGGATTGAAACGCCGTTGGCCGACCGGAGAGCAGCTAAACTACAGGGAAGTGTAAAAGAAAGAGCTGGGAGCAGTGCTGCACCTTTTGGACAAACACGCGCGGTCGGTCTGGATTCTGCTCTGACAACTACGCTGTTTATCCGCGGGAGGAGCTCAGAGTTGTGCTTTTATTAAATTATCTCTTTACTTTAGTTTTTGGGATTACAACCTTGATTGATCTTCGCTCACACTTCTCGGCAGCAAACTTCCGTGCATTTCCAGTTCCACGGTTGTTAGCGTCGGTGGGCACCCAGAGCTTGTGAGACTACTACTTCATATTTACATAAAAAACGGACAAAACTGGACATTGCTTGGAGAAAAGAAATGGAGGACGTTGAACTACCTGGTGAGCTAAGAAAATATGGGTCTGTAACTTTTTTCCGGCTATCGTACTTTACTGACTTTACAAATCTACATCATGCTGTAGTTATTTTGGCATCAGTTTGATCTGTTCATTGGAATTAAATCAGAATGTTTATTTTTGGTTCATACAGCTGTAGTAATTGCGGGTTGTGTTTATTTGTGTTGCGGCTTGTGTGTGAACACTCGGCAGTTGTCCAGCGATAAAACCGCGCAAGGAAAGCATTGGGAGGATTAAATTTGCGTTGTGTGTGAACACACCTTTAAGGTCATACTTTTCACAAGCTCAGTAAATCACATTTGTGCCCGATACTAATACTTTACCATGCAGCCAATTCAATGCCAAATGGGTCACCTCAAAAAGTGTGAACATAAGGTGAACGCCACATTATTCACAGAAATTACTCAAAATAGTGGAAAGTTCTGTTTCAGGTCAGTATTACAGTAAGTGACTTTAAAAATAGTTATATTTCACATTTTTTGTGACAAAATGGACATATCGATCACCATCCTGGAAAGATATATACTGAGGCGCAGGTGGAGTGGTAGCGTGTGTGTGTGTGTGTGTGTGTGTGTGTGTGTGTGTGTGTGTGTGTGTTTGTGCACAAAGCACTGGCCTGTGGAGAAGAGAGAAAGCTTCAGTGTGTTACTGAGTCAATAGGCTCTTTGTTCACTGGGACTGGGAGACAGTTAGCCATGAGGATACACTGATACTCCAACACACCATAGTATACCTGAACACACACTCTATTCAAATAGCTAAGCCTGACAGGATGGATGTCATTCAATCTCTGTCCACAGTTCCTGATTTACCTTTTTTACCACCTTATCAGTTTTTACCCAACTTTCTCCTCTTTGCTCCTCTCCTCCTTTCTCTCTCTTTCTATACATGTCTTCATATTTCCCTCCCTCTTCATCCCAACCTCTTCTGGCGTCTTTGTGTTGGAACAACAGAAACCGTTTTTCTGTTTTTTCAGCCCTCTCGGTTATCTCAGCTGGGGGGTCGGTGGGTGGGAGTTTTTACCTGAGAGCAGGACAGAGGGCATTTTGTGTTGGACAAGGGAGCGAGGAACAGTGAGAAGGAGAGGAAAAAGAGCGAGGAGAGGTGGGGGCGGTGGGTAGAATGGGGGAAGACAAGAATGCAGCTCATACAGGTAAAAGCTTTGTACAGGTACCAGAAACAAGAGCAGGAATCCAGGACACACACTAGTTTTAAGATCCACGTGATGGTAAAGAAAGAGTGGAACTGGGGCTTAAAGCCAGAAAAAAAGGACATCTATGTGACCTGATCAGATGAAAGGAAGGGAAATGGACCACAGAGTGAAGCGAACTCGACAAGATTACTCCTAATACAACCAATACAAGATGTAAGTAAAATGAAATCTGCAGGCAAGTTCTTCATTTTTATTTCTGCTTCTGTTAGTTCAAGTCGAAGAAACTGCACATATTAATATAATATATTCTATATATGCTGTAAATATTCAGCATCTATATATATATATATAGATAGAGAGAAAAAGAGAGAGAGAGAGAGAGAGAGAGAGAGAGATATATATAATATAGGCCACTGCCAGTTGAAACTTGGGAAAATGTTGGGGACGGGAGGCTCTCAGTGGCTACTTATATTCCAATGAGAAGAAGTCAGGCACATGTCAGCATGAATCTCACTCACATACAGTGTCTGCTGAGAGTGTGTGTGTGTGTGTTTGTGTGTGTGTGTGTGTATAAATAATGGATAAAGGTATAATAAGCTTTCTGTGGAACGTCTCTGGGCAGTTGACCACTCGGATCAGCATTGGGATTCTGTCACTCAGACTCAAAGGTACAACACTCAGCTTATCTATTGCTCTATGCACACACACTCACAACCCCCCCTACACACACACACGTAGGTTTGATTACACACATACGTGCATGCTCATACATTTTCGCACACTCACACAAACACTGATCGCCTTATCTCGTTGTCCAAACAAGAAGATAACAAATAGACCACATTGTCTGTTTCTGCAGAGGATCTCGATAAGACACAAATCAGCTTACATAGACGGACAAATACACGCACCAACATATACAATCACATGTGAGGAAACAGAGCGGGTTGAAAAAAACTAAAACAAGAATGGATGACTTTGACATTAATCCTACCTGCTTCAAACTCTCTCTGAGCGCTCCTCTTGCTTTAATCTCAAACCTGCTTCTTTATCTCCCCATTCTTCTTATCTCTGCATGTCTTTCCAGCCCTCTGAATTTCACATTTCTATGCTTGTTGCTGGAGCAGCAGGGATTCCCCTCCAAACTGCAAAGTAGCTCAATGTACAGATATTGTGCATGTGTGTTTGGTTATTAGGAGCCTTACAGGTGTGCATATGCGTGTGTTTTTGCCTTTGATCTTAAAGGAATAGTTCGATGAAAAGAACAAAATCAATCTTACATCTGTACAGAAAAAGCTTCAGTCAGCAGCCAGGTTGCTTAGATTAGCACAAAGATGGAAACCAGGTTAAAACATTTCTGCCAGCATGTCCACGACTCTCTAATCATCACGTGATATTTTGTTTGTTCGATCATCTAACTCTCTGCCAGAAAGTTAATAGGTGCATTTCCCATCATTAAGTGATGTACTTCTAAAGACCATTTTCCAAAACGTGTATCTTGTCATGATGGAATCAGCCTGATTATGGCCTAACCCAACAGATGTGGGGCATCGGGAGCAAAAATGAGCACTGGGCATGAAACTTGATCGTGTTTCATCGTTTAAGCCTACCAATGCAGCATCTGGGACACTTCATGATTTCCAGACAAAAAAACGTGTTTGCCTTCAACTTGTACTCCATGTTCTGTGACACTGACCCATAGGAGCTCAGAACAAAAACTGTAAACAAAAAATGATGTTATTGGAATGATGGAACAATAAAGTCAGCCCCTGGCACCGATCGGTCGTCACTGAAGTCATGAAAGATGGCAAGCCAATATGGTCAGGGTTCAAGGTGTTTTCTTCCCTGTCCAGCCTAATCACAGTAAGACTGTGACTCTATTGCCTAACATGACTCAGTGACCATATAGAAAGACACGATATTGTGTAGTCTGATCCGACGTTAGGGTTTTGATGGATGATACATTATTATGTGTTCCAGTTCCCTGGGAATTCCCTCCATTCTGGGTTCTTTAACAGTAACAGCTCTGAAACACCATTTCAACTACAAAGGGAATAGAGCCCAACTGAATTGACTCGATTGAAACTGAACCAAATCCTCCATGCCTAGTACAGTCCACGCAGTCATACATACCAGCAGCTTGCAGACGGACAGGGAGTATCATTTAGACAGTTTGTCAACAGAGAGCACTGATGCATTTATTTTGTGATGAGTCAGGGAGTGAGAACGGGTTGGTTACCTATCTGCCTACCTGAACCTGCCTGATAAAGCAGAATGAGTGGTAGAGATCACTGCCATGAAAGAAATAATATAAGAATAAGTTATACTTCAATAAAAATTTTGAATAATTTAAATTTATTGGCAAATATCACAAACAAAAAATATTGGTCTGACCTTTGTTTGGATGCCACCATCGTTTGTTTACGCATAGAGCCACGCTGTACTCGTCGCTGTTCATTTCTGTGTGTATTTGTGGATGCACGTGGGCTGCTTGGCCTCCCTCTCCCTCTCTCTGGTAACGCTGACTCATCCATTTTTAGCCAGTTAATTATTAAGAGGGTCTGCAGGCTGTGTTTTCATCTGTCTCATCTCTGTGCTCAGTTATGGAAGAACCCCTAGTAATTACACACCACCAAAACAAGACACTGACTCCTGATGGCTGGCAGCCTGGCTGGGGATACGGAGCGAGCAAGTGGGGAGGAGGAGAAGAAGAAGAAAAGAAGAAGAAGAAGAAGAAGAACAGTGAGAATGGGAGAGATCGAATGACAGGAGGGGAGGGATTGGAGGATTCACAGGAGACAAGAAGGATACACAGTGGAGAGAGGTGTCTCGGCACTGTTGTAAATCCTCTGCAGGGCCTTGTAAGCTGTCTGACAAGCTGAGGGTGTTAAAGGCATGAAGTGAGAGAGCTACACACACTCACGGACACACACACGAATCACTGTGCGGAGAGAAAAGTTTCCTCCTGCTACCGGCGTGACTGGCTCACTGCTGTGTTTTATGGCTTTCTATTCCTATGTGATTTTCTCTGGCATGTCACATAGGGTCTAAAGCCATTGGGTACAGAGTGGGAGATCTGCAGAAGAGGATTAGATGGATATATGGAATGACAGAGGAGGGATAAAAGAAGAGCATGAGGAGGTTTAATAGCATATATGTACACTCATACACACACACGTATACGCTGCTTGGCCCGAGGCAGTTTTGTCTCTGCTTGCAGGCAGCCCGGTCTAGCTCAGCTAATTGCCCCCATATGAGACAGGCGGGAAGTGTGCATCAATCCCTGTAGCAACACACATACACACAAACACACATACATACATGAATCAGAATCAGAAATATTTTATTCTTCCCCCCGAATCAATAAAGTATTTCTGATGCAACACTTATGTTTGTTCTGTGCCTGTGTTTTTGTCACACACTCTCCCACTGGCATCACACACACACACACACACACACATATACACTGTATAAACTCCCCAGCCAGACCTGCTGGTGCTGCTGACTCAGGCTGATATTTAATGAAGCTCTCAGTTTCACCTTGCATCTCCTAATCTCACTGCTCGTTAGTGACTGGCTGCTAGCATGCTAGTGAAAAATGTTAACGTTGGGAGTTTAGTAAGCCTTAAGCTGTGTGAGTGTGAGAGAGGGAGGAGAAACATCAGCAGGAGAGAGAGAGAGAGAGAGAGAGAGAGAAAAGGAGAGAGAGAGTCAATGAAGCGTAGATTCGATGTGAAGAAAAATGTGAGAAGCTATTGAAAGGAGTTTTTCTCCTTGTTGAGTGACAGAGCTCTATAGACCGCCGTGCCAGTCTTTAGTGCAGTGTGTGCACAGTGTGTTGGCTGACCTATTGACTGAACCTTAGTAACTTTCTCTGCACTGAGTTTCTTGCTGAGGGCACTGCAAAAACGTGAAAGACTAACACACAGACACACACACACACACACACTTTGCCTTGAGGATCATCGACGGCTGGACAGAACAGTCTTCCAGCTGTAGGCCTGTGGCTGATATAAATTATGGTAATTCGCAGATGATTAAGATTTGCAGCCATGTGGTGACGATGGTGTGGTGTTCCCAACCATTAATGATTGACCATGACACTTAATCAGGGAGCTTTGATTCCCTATGCCACCTCAAGACCATGTTCCCATAGTGGCTCCTTTGAATTTCTGTCACAATCTGGATGGAGAACTACACCTGGGAATTAAATCCATACCTCACCTATAGAGTTCCATAGTGGTAGGATTACTTTAGCCATCTAGGGAGGAAGTTAAAGAGTAAAGTCCAGAGTACAGAAGTTAAAGTCATGTTAAATATGCGGTAATATGCTTTTTGGCTTTATATATATCTTTTTTGTGCATGTAACAGGTTTGCAAAGTGAAAAATCCCAAAGTCCACCCCAAAGGGAGTTCCCATCTCCCATAGAAAGCACCTTCTCTGCTTCTGATTGGCTAGTAGTCCTTAACTAGGAACTGCACATGTACTTGCTGCAACCTTCTCTCCATCCAGAGAAAGGGCCAGACCAAGTACAAAGTACCCTACTTTGTGTCAACTTTTTTACATCCACTAAAATTAGGTAGCCTACTTGCAACACATCACTTCGATGAATACTATGTATCATAGCAACCAAACCGTCTCGGAAAAAAACGCTGAGGCTCCGAAGTGCACCCTAGCGCTCCTAGCTAGGTATTTTCAGAAGAGGAGCTGATGTTTTCAGCTGGCAAAAACTCTTTGGTGGACACAAGCCCTTACAGTTTAATTCTCCTCCTCCATTTTTCATTTTTTGTCTTCTTCTGCAGCAGTATGCAAACCTGTTTAGGGGTGCATTTCCGACATGTGAGAACATGGTGCGCAGTCCTGCTGCCCAAATCACGAATCCAGCCCTGATTTGCCACATAGCCCACCCCGAACATATAGCACAGACACTGAGTGGTTGCTCCCACTGTGGAAACAGTGTTGATCTGTATCGGAGGACACATTACTACCATCGTAGTCCATCCCTAGTTTCTGTTAACGAACATAAAAGAACCTCTGACATGGTAATTTACATGGGAAAATATTTAGTATAAGAACTAGTGTCTCACTACTATACTACTACTAACTATAGCTATATCAAATATGCAAACATGCACAACATTTACATTTAAATCCTAGAGGTATCTCTCTGAACAGAAACACCACTGTGGCTCACATTTTTAAATATCTGGCTATTGCTAGCAGTTCAGATTCGTTACCAGTAGTTACCAAGAAAACTAGCTCACCAAACTAAGTTGATAAGTACAGGTATTATTCTTTGAGAGAAAAGCTGAGAAAAAGATGGCACTCCCTTATGCATCAAAGACTGAAAACCCATTTCTTCTTTGATCCCAGATATCCGTGTGCTCAAAAGACTTGTTGGGAGAGAACTTCACAGAGCAGTGTGATGTCTCGGCAGATTGCCAGATGAAGGTGAAACGTTTTAACCCCCTCCTCTCCTCCCTGTCTGCCTCTGCAGGTTTACGTGGATGTGTTGCGACAGATAGGCCATGCCCTTCACCTGTGCCTGCTTCTGTGGCCTGAACGGCTTCTGCAACAGAAGGAAGAAGAAGAAAAAGGAGCAAGTGGAGGAAGAGAAGGGTGAGGAGGTAGAACGATGGAAGGATCAGGAGACGGAGGTGTGACAGCAGCGCTGTCAGCTGCTCTCTCCTCACCTTCACCAGGGTTTTATCTTTTAAAAGACCGGGATGTACGACCCAGGTCACTGCTGCTCAGTACAGACTGTTTGGGGAAGCAAACAGGGATGGGAAGGGGCTTCAGCATGCACAGACTTTTTGCTGAAAATCTGAATTAATCAGGCATTTTTGAACCACATACTGAATCTGCGACTAAGGCATTTTCTACTTTTTAAACTCCTTTATCTCAACATGCTGTGTGGAGCCATATTCCTCAAGATGAATCAGATTGATGAAAATAAAAGCCTGTGTACTGTAAGCCTTAGCTGATCCCCATTAGCCATCCCTGCAGCACTCTAATTTCCCCTTGGCAGCTGACTGAGAACTTTGCTTCTGCTGATGTGATTCCAAAAAAACATTTCTTATCTGTTTGATTCATGTCTTTCCATAGCTGATGTACTGTATGAGGTGCGAAGTGATGATGAGCCCTAGAAATCCATTATTTCTCTCAGTCACACCTCTCAGCGACGCCCCATCTCTCCCTTCTCCTTCTTAATCGCAGCTCCACTGAGGCTGAATTGGAACCAAAGCTCGGTGGAGCGCTGCACCTCTTCACCTACCTGCTTATGTCAGATCAACTTAGTGAAAACTTCAGCCAAGGGAGAAAGAGTGCAGTAATTTCCAAAGTCACCCATGGAGGGCCAGAGCCCATCTCGGTTTTCACGCTGAGCTGGGCCCAATCTAAAGCTGAGCAGCTGTCCAATCAGCAGCTTAGCTGGAGTGTGAAGATAGGAGTCAAGGGTCAGAATGAGCAACAGGATTTGTGAAATGTCCCTCCTCTGATGCCTAGTATGTGTCTCATTAATAGGCAGACAAGTAATTACAAACACACGCACACACTGATGCAGACTCACCTATTGATGTCCCCCGCTGGGAGCGGGGTGTCTGTCTGTAAATGCCACCGAGGTGCGCTTCCAGCTGTCCCTGCCTGAGTTTATGACTCTGAAAGCATGTGTCTGCGTGCTTGTGTTACTTCTTGGCTACAACAATAGACTTTCAAACCTGAAACAAGTGGTTAAGATATCTCTTCTCCAGCAACATAACTGCCTTCACTATGCACATGGAGACAGAAAGACAAAGACACACCATCACATACACACACAGGTCTCATTAACGTGTGTGATTATGCATGGCACGTCCAGTCAGGCAGTGGAGATGTAATTAACCTTTTTCAGCAGGAAACAGATGCCTGGATGTCACACACAAACACACACACACACACACACACACACACACACAAGTCTGCTGTCAGGGAAACAAAGCCAACGTCACGGTGTCACGGAAACAAAGCCCCAAAAGTGCTGCCTGGCACGCTGTGATAATCCCCTAACGCATATTTACATTCAGGGCTTAGAATACGCCTCGGTGCCGCCATCTCCACCCACCGCCGCTCTCTGCTCCCACGCCCCTCCTCCACCCATCCATCCTCTCTCTCCTCTACATTTACCTTTCGGTCTTTCACCTGATTTACCCTTTTCCTTCTGCTATCTCTTCCTTTCCCAAAACTCGGGTTCATGTGTTTATTTCTTAGTGGATAGTACATGGCCTTGCATGGTGGCTCCCATAGATTAGCCCACACCCTCTCTGTCTCTGACTCTGAATATCAGGGATTTCTTCAGGCGGGCAAAAAGCTGCTTTATGTCAGATTAATGGACGGCCCTGATTGTGTCTGTTGGTGTGTGTCTGTGCCTGGGTGGAATAGATTGTCTGTTTAGTCATTCTCCTGCTACAAGCGGTGAAATGAGACAAAGCTAAAGCCATTTCACAGTGTAGAGCACCTATTATGATTCACTGTGTTACGACGCAGCCCTAATGAGAAAGAGAGGGAATGAGAAGAGGGGTTGGAGGATAGGAGAGGAAGAGAGAAAAAGACGGTAATGAGAGCGAGAGTTTGAAACAGAAGAGGGGGGCGAATGCTAGACAGAGCAGTCATGCTAATTGGCTACAGTGGATAACTTTCTGAAGCAGGGATGAGTATTTGTGTGGTGGGTGGGGGGAAGAGAAAAGAACAGCCTGATCTGTCGGCATTACACTCGTTTAATGCTCCCTCCATTTCACCTCTTTAATGAGAGGAATATTCGCTCCAGTAATGGTGAAAGACTTGAAATTGGTAACCATTTTTTTTCACACACACACACACACACACACACACACACACACACTCGGAGGTGGTATTGGGGGAGGTTGGTGTTGGCGGAGGTAGGTGTGTGTTTTCCCTCAAGCGCCACAACCCAGTCCTTTATGGATCATGGCAATTTTCATGGATTGTAACTCAAGGACATCCAGCTAAAAATAGCAGGGTGGTGCACGACTCCTGCGATAGCGGGGAGGGGAGGAGGTGTCTGTGTGTGTTTGTGTGTGTGTGGGTGGAGTTAGTGAAAACGAGTCCTGTCGCATTAGATTTGGGTCAGAAACGAGGGAAAGGCCAAGGAAGCGGAAGAGTGTTACAGACAGCGGGGAGATTCATTACTCTCTGCTCCCTGTACCTCTTGTCCATCTCCTTCAGCATCGCGCCGCCCTCCCCCTTCTCTTCGGAAAAGATGGTGAACTGCTGGAAATACAAGGGAGAAGTGGCAGGGCATAGAAGAGAGGGAAGAGCGTATGTTTAATGTGAGAGACTGAACCACAGCTAGTTAGATAATATTCTAAGATTAATATATGTCTTCCTATAATGAGTGCATACTTAAATTCATACTATCATTCTATTAAAAGATCCCAGGAGAGAACAAACTGTAATAGAAGAGCCTTACTCTTACTCAGAGGGTCTGTTCCAAGTGTAAAGCACGGAACGATGATGAACCAGACCACTCTCATGTCTGCAGGGAAGTGGGAATTGATTAGCTTAGCATAAAGATTGGAAGCAGACTTTACTCTGGTCGAATAAGCATATATATGGTGTATTGGTTTACCCTCTGTATCACATAAGGAATTGAACCCCATTACTGTGTCAATGATAGGGTTCCTTGTCAAGGAAATAGGCCCCTAACCACTTAAAGGTGTGTAAGTTTTAGTGACATCTAGTGGTAAAGATTGTGAATTGCAACCGATTGCTCACTCACCAGTCTACCCCCCTCTTTTCAAGTGAGTAGGATAGCAACGGTGGCTGACACAGGACAAACCGTGTTGTCTTCTGAGATAGCTGAGAGTAGTCAGTCAAGAAATGAGGTCTCTTTAAACAGATATATTAAGAACTTATGTTTACTTTAAATATAATTATATAGTAAAACTATATGTTATTGCAAATATTATTGTTACTTGTTCACAGGGCCATAACCAGGGTTTAGAAATTAGTGAGGTCCAGATTTAAAAATTTTTATATTCTATTTAAAAATAGAGCCTGTTTACGGTAATTCATACCAAAATTACAGGTAAACACAATGAAAGTTATACACTTAAGTCACAAAAACTAATGGTCTATAATGAAATACATACTAAGAGAACTGTTGGCCAAAATTATTAAATCTTGTGGGCAAAGCACTGTTTGGTTGAAGATACACACAAGCTATGATCAAAAAGTACAAACCGGGAAATCTTGGTAAAATTAATCTTCACAACATGTATTAGGGCTAAATGTATCTTAAATGTAGCCTACAACTGTCATCACAGGACCCAATACATTATATGTTGTATTGATGAATGTTTTCTTTAATGATGAGTGTTTTCTTCAACGATTTACTTTAATGATTAAGAGGCTGTTGTCAATCATTTAAAGGTTTCCATGCACGCAATAAAGTCACAGCTAATTCGACATTTATGCAGCAAAACAAAAACAATGTAGTTAATATTTGACAGGACAGACAGAGGAAACTCTGCCAAGGAAACAGAATTCAACTTTTAGCCTGTGAAATGTTTAGATGCTCTGATGGAGCTCAGAATTGATCAGGAGGACGGCTGCTTTACTCCAAACAGTTTCACTGTATAAACCTGGACTGTGTGTGAGACCTTTTGGATGTGTAGAAAAACACAGCATATTATTTAACAGTAGATCCTGATGATCCTGTCGGGAGATTTAAATATGAAGTTATACTGCGGTGGCTTGTGCATAAATGCACACGCTTCACGCTATTTCACCCACCCAGAAATTTGATAAACTTATTTATCGCACAAAACTCTGCCCACAAATAGAATTGATGGAGAAACAGTTTTTCAACTTGAAATGAGGGTTCCATGGGTGTAATCAGCTGCAGCTAACATACCAAAGTAAATGAAAAACATCTCAAAAACTATCACATCTAGTGCAAGTATGACCACTGACATGGAAAATGTAAGCCTCAATGTTTCTTTACCACAGTCCACCACATAATACATGAAGTTTACAAACGCATAGTCACATGAGGACCAAGGCTCCTCTACACTTTGTTTAATTAGATAAGTAATCTGTAAGTCGTACACCAAGATGTCTTACAAATGGTTCTATACAATTGAATCACAAAGTAGTACTATTAACCATAATTTCAGCTTGTGGTAAACTGGTGCATCATTTTTAATTTACCCTGTTAATTATTAAATTACACATTTGTGTGCACAGCCCCACGACCCTGTACGCAGGATAAGCGGTTGACAGATGGATGGATGGATTTGTGTGCACAGTAGCAAAGCAATAGCCTACAAACAAATATGTTTTAATTTTCATGCAAATTCTGAAAGTATAAGCATTATTGGTCACTTGATAGGCACACGGTCTTGTTATCATAAGGCCATTAGCAGAAAAAATAAATAAGTTTTCCACCAGGGCAGTAATATGTGAAGTCTAGGTGGCTATCTGAGCTTCCACGCTGTACAGTTTTATTGCCAATAATAGTCATCAGCTGTTTGTCTCGTGAACATAACCGATACATTTTGTCCACGTGGCAAAGCCAACACACAGTGCTGGAGAATAACTAAATGAAATTACAATCCAACTAAATATTTTTTCTAGCAGGGCAGTAAAAGTTTAGCTGACTTATCTGAGCTTTCATGCTGTAGGCTACAGTTTTATTGCCAATAATATGATCAGCCATTCCAATGAACGTAAGCGGCACTTTTTTCTGTCCAGCTACCAAAGCCGAAACATAGCGCTGGATATTCAACTGTATATTCCACACCACTGACAAGCAAAACACATTATTTCTCTCAGTGCTTATGGCCAGCTTCTAGCTAAAGCTATCAAAAAACAGTTTTCATTTGCATCGCTAGTTGCACTAACTTAATTACCTGTCACCTACTGTACATGGTGACGCAACATGGCAACCTCCAAGTGAGGGGGATTATGTAGACAGAAATGGCTCATTCTAAGGTAAATAAAACATAACGGTTCATAATGTACGGTGTACACCACTGAAAACATAGTTATGGATCTTATATTGTATTTCTGTCACTAGATCTTTAGAAATATTGCACACTGAACCTTTAAGTCCCACCGAGGAGTTTAACATCTAATGCTCAACTCATGCAGAAGGAGCTACTTTCAGACACCAAATGTTAGCCACCAGTGACATGCCACAGCAACCAGCTACACGTCACCCTTCCAACGATCTGGAGCCCATTTCACAAAAGTCATTTGTGAGTGTTGCTTAAATGCAAATCGCTGTTTATTTTGATTAGTTAAAAACACAGGAACATGAACAATATGAATACAAAAGGAGATTAAAAAAATCAAAGTAAGTAAAAGTTAGAGAATATGCTTTTGATTGCTGATATCCCCCTACTGTCATCTCATCACAACTTAGTAGAGTAGGCTGTAGTTCATTCTTCATCATGAAAATACCAGTTTGACTCTAGGTACACTTACTCAATCTGATGAAGACAACTCATGGTTTTCATCAGCAGATGGAGTTCGCTCAGTTTTCATCATGGATCACTCTCGGGTGCTGCATGAATCAAAGTTGGCCTTCACAACAACTGAAGAAATTCTGTTGATGAAGACAATGAGATACTAGTATGTGGACCTTGAGTTAGAAATTGCAACTTTTTAAAATATTTCATATTTTGTAAAAATCATAAGCATTGTTAATTGGTTCAAACTGGATAATCAAACCTAAAGGTACGGTAGAAAAAACATGTTCAGTCACATGTGGGTTCTGTAGCTGCAACATCCCCACTTTGATACTGGCCAGCAATCAACCTTGCATGACATCACCCCTCTCTTTTGCACAAGTGTCACATTCATATATTCAAATAAAGGCAAATAAAGGATAATTTTAAGTTATCATCAACTCAGGCAGCAGTGCCACCTACCCTGGCCCTGCTTATCAGTGGAGGTAACACTCACCATCTGACAGCTCCCACAAGCAGTTACCTTTCTCCGGGGAATGGAACCCTCAAGCCTCAGCTCTGGGTGTGTTACTGCGGTACGATACAGCTCTTTCCCTCCAGCGTGTGCTCCTGTGCATCAGCCTGTTGTTCCTCCATTACTTTCTCTCCCACATCTGTTCTGTTTTTCTTACAAGGAAAGTGATGGTCCCACCATGGCTAATTAGGAGGACTGGGATGCACTGGTAGACCAGTGATACGGTCAGGAGGGGAGAGCCAACACTGGCCGCTTAGCGTTCCCACCAGCATCAGAGGAAGGAACGGGGAAATGGGATGCAGAGAGAGGAGATAAAAACAGAGGGAAGGTGTATATAGCGCAGTCGAGACTGTAATGGGTTTTGTCAGGAGCACCTGTCAGGGTCAAGTTAAAATGTCTTCAGTGAGAGAGGACAAGAGGGATGAGATGATGGGAGAGTTGGAGTCAGGATCCCGGTGAGGAGAGGCCCTCATCCATGCCAGCCTCACCTGATTGCCAATTTGTGCCAGTCTGCAGACATCAAACACTAATACAAGCCTCACGCAAACACACCAACGCCACAACTGGAGACGGCCATACGCATTCAATACACACACACACAAGCATGAACTCATGCTGACAACCCACCTACGCTGGCTGATTGGACACATCAAGCCCCTTAACAAGGTGTTCACGGTGCAGACCTAAGCCATGTGATTGGAAGATAAAACTGCCGCCGTTAAATATGTAATTCTCCCCCATGTCTGATGAAAATAAGGTGCAGCGCTGATTAGATTGCTGCCTGCTGTGCCAACCTCGGGTCTGCGCCATGTTCATTACCAGCCCACACTCCCCAACCCAACCAATCCTATCTCGATTTGTGTTCTCCTGCAAAACCCCCAAATACTCTATTTGTGATGGAAAAGCAATTGTGACAGCCTCGAGAGTTGAGGTTGATGCCTGAGGAGTGATGAAATTAAGTCGAGTAAAATGTATTTATAAATCACAAGCTGCACCTGGCAATTTAAAGTTTTGACAGCCCCAAATGGCATCCAGACGGAACTGATTGAAATAGAAATTCTGTTAAGGCGGTGTCCGTAAATGTCCCGCTCTCGGTCTGGAGAGGGTGGAGGTGAAGAAGAGCTTCAGCCATCATTCTTCAGTGGATATTTTATAGGCTGTATCAATATATTCAATTTTAAATTATTATTCCCGGCAATGTACCAAAACCAATGGAATCAATTATTATTTTTCAGAATTACTTAACAATTAAGTGTTCCTTTATGGGTTTAGGATGTTGTCCTACGTCTTGAGCTAAATAAGCCATTTAAATCCCATTGGATTTGAAAACTGCCCTGTTTTTCTTAACTCATTAGACATTTTGGAGATGCAAGTTTTTCACAGATCAGAGACCTTCATGGTGGGAAATACAATTTATTTATTGCTGAATGGTTAACTAAAGAAATTATATGTTAAAGGGCCACCTCCATAAAGTTGGGAAATTAAAGATTTAATCTCAAGTACCGTTCAAGCATTCTAAATAAAATTAGACTCGTGACCTCGATATTTCTAAAATGCTGAACCTCCACTGCTAAAACACCATGATTTTGTGCCGTGTGATAAACCAATAAATACAAACCCGAAACCAATGTCTAGTAGTTGGTTGTCAGTTTGGTGAGGAAGAGCTTGTAACATCCTGACGGTCTAATGAATATATTTTGTAAGTACAAATAGAAATTTGATACAAAGCACAAAGAATGAACTCTAGTGAGTGAAATCCCTTATGTCTCTCCCTGGTCTCTACCACTGGCTGGAAAATGAAAAAGATCTTAAAACACAAGGTATTCTACCTGCTCAGCTGCCTCGGGTAACAGTAGGCTTGATTTTGTGGAACATTTGCTATTAACAATTAGGATCTACAAGTTTTATTTAACATATTAGAGCACTAAATATTCACCAGTCTTGAGTGTCAGAATTTAAACCAGCAGCAGAGTCAATAGCAACTCTGCCAGCAAAATACCCAATTTATGTCCAGTTCCAGTGCTGAAAACCTGGAGTCTTCCGTTTCAGTGGGCTGAAGGTTAAAGGAGATGCACACAGAATCCTCCATAACAACTTGTGTAACTTGTGTATCTCAGCTCATACACCACTTCCAGAGTGTACTTCTCAAAATGGAAAGAAATGTATATTGAGCTGGACAGAGAAAAACTTTTCTAATTGGTCGGGGGCTGTGAACAAGTCAGGTGTCCCAGATATCTGAAGCCAATTGACCATCAATGGGAGATAAATCAATTTCTCTCCACTTTTTTCCTTAGCCCTTTCTCTTTATCCCACCCAGCCTTCTGTTCTCTCTCACACTCTCTCATCCACACATACTTCCACTTCCACTGGTCGATACCGGAGCGGGTATTGAGCAGTGGCTGTGGTCTAAATGAGAGTTTGATTTCTTGGGGGGCGTTAGTCCAGTAACCATGGTGGGTGTTGAGTCGCAGAGACCACTTCACCAAACGCTCACTGATGAAGTGCGTTCAGCTGGCAGGTGACAATTCAAAATATAAAAATATAATGCAGTACTCAGCAGCTTCTTACTTTTTTGGACAATGTACATTTGTTTCTTCTATGTTCACATTGCATTGCATGTTTTCTTATTGTGCAAATAAACCTTTCTTAAAGGTTTCATAGAAAATACTCATAGAAAATACTGTATTGTACTGTACTGTGCAGTACTATTGTACTGCATATTTGTAACTTGACCCTGAGGCTGTAGTCCTACAGTCTGACAGCCGATGTAGTAAGTATTACCTGAAGGACATCCACAGGTGAACAGTTCCTGCTGTGCTAATTGAAAGAGTTTACAAACTGTCAGATGTCTGAACTGCACACACTTGAAAAATTTAACAAAATAAAATATCACCAAATCCCCAGCAGGACTTGGACCTAGATATGGAGATAAAAATAGATTCTGAAGAAATTGACTTTACTAGAAAGAGAAGTGATCATTGCAATGCACACTGTAAGCATGACTGTAACACAATATATATATATATATATATATATATATATATATATATATACATACATGTATAGGCCTAGTGTGTGTGCCATACATTGTCTGCCACACACGTTTTGTGCTTTTATACCACTCACTGTGTGTAAAGTACGGTGCATGCATCTTCTCCAATTATGAAACCTAATGACCACAAAGTATGTGCTACCATATTGCCAAAATGTAGACTACCTGTGGTATTTTAATGCAGGCTAATAAAAAATGTGCACATACATGGGAACATGGAAAAACAGAAAAAAAAATCATTGGTCTCTGATCGGCGTGACCGCTGACTGAACAGATAAGGCTCCAGGATTAACTAAGCCTGGCTGTTAGCCTGGTCTGGAGCAGGCTAGCTGCACAGAATAAAACACCATGGTAACTTAAATTCTACTGCTTTCGTGAAACCGAGTCAGGGCTTAATTCAGACAGGATATCTGGAAAAGCCCGGCTTAATCCACTATCTTGGTTTTGTGAATCAGCCCTCTGATCTGCTGTTGAACACTTTATTCTCCTTGAAAAACAAACACGCGCACAGAAAGACAACACAGTCCCGACTGCATCTTGAGTCAATTCTCAATAGTTCATCAGAGCTTCAAGAAAGTGAAAACTAGCTGGCTGAGTCTAGTTTTCTTCTGAAGCTCTGATGGAGCCTTTCTGCTCAGGTTGTGTGAGCCTATTCATAACATTTACTAAGCTGCTGATATCGTCTAAACCAACAAAAAGCCTGTTATTGCGATCCAATATGTGGCCAAAGCCGTAGAGCACATTGCAAACCCCTCTGTGCTTTCCAGAATCTGTCCATTAATGCTGCTTTGCACTGAGCGTCCAGACTTTGAGTTTGTTTGACGGGATTTGTGATTGTTCGTAGCATTTTGCAAAGTCTTTCACCCCTTGTAGCCTTCTGTGCTCGCTGCCACCCGACAACACACACAGCAGCCTGTTTGTGTGCGCCTGAGTGTGTGTAACGCCATCTCCTCTTTCTATGGAGTTTTTATATTATTCATGTCTCTGGGCCTTTGCAACGGGGAACAAGCGAAGCAGAGCTGGAGACAGAAAAAAGGAGGAGGGACCTTTGACAGAGTAGCACTGACGGACAGCTCGACAGTGCAATACATAAACATGAGGTCAGAGAGCCGCAGTGGGAGACGGAGAAGGAAGAAGGAGGAAGAGCAAGAGAAAGTGTATGAGCAGGGGAAAGACAGATATACAGCATTAGAAAGGTTGTCTCCCACTGACAAGCTCTCACTCTGTTCAGGAAACCCACCAATCAATGCACACACACATCAACCTGTGAGGTAGTGTGTGTGTTTGTGTGTGTGATGGGGGAGAGGATGTGCTAGTGGTCTGCGTGCTGCAGGAGAGTCTATGTTTGAAATGCAGAGCACGTCAAGAGTCCTAGGGAGCTTCTTTTGCAGCAAAGCCTCATTAAAGAGACACTTGCCTTAAAGCAAGGATATACTGCCAGACCACACACACACACACACACACACTCAACACAACACTAGAGATTCACTCAGGCTAAGAGAGTGACGCGCACACAGAAGCGGCTTCGGACAAATTAAATAAAAATCTGTGTGAAGAAATAACAGGAGCAAATGGAGGAATAAATGCGGTGTTGTTAATGTCCTCAGCTCCAATCCTTTTTTCCATTTGCCCTCCATATGAATAAAGTCATTTGTCCACTGGCAGTGCCTCCCACCATCTCACACTAATATTATATTCATGTATATTTGATTGTGTCAACTCTGTGGAGTTGCTGTATCTTGTGTGCCTTTTAAAAATGCATCTATGAATAAATAATGTCTGTATCTGCTGATTGAAAAAGCCATATTGCCAGAAAGCCATGATGAAATGATAATGTAATATGTGTTCCTGTGTTGAATAAAGCAAAGCACCCTTCATCCTTTCCCTTTTTTTAAATTCTCTCAGTAAATGCTAAAGCTCTGCAACTGCACCTTACACTGCCTGATGTCATTCCCCCGTACGGTTGGCCCTGCTGCTCTGAGTGTGTTTTAATAAAGAGAAAGCCTATTTCTATACATCTGAGTGCTGTGTGGTTGTTCGGAGTTATTAATAAAGAGAAGCAAGCTGCTTCCCCGAGCGCCTCCCCTGCTAATTGACAGTGATAGCAGAGTCTTGTCTCCTGGGCTGCTGTTGGGAGCCTAATAAAGATGCATTACTACAAGGATGTGAGAATGATGCGGATCGCAAGCCCCCCAACCCCCTCCTCCTCTTCTCCTCACACAAGATGATTAAACTGATAAACTGCAGCAAAAAGAGGGAGAGAAGGGGATGTAAATAATAAAATAGCAGCGAGAAAAGGAGTCAGTCGAGGAGGTGAGAGGAGGTGGGGAAAGCAGAGAAATCCCATTTGGAGCAGCTCCATGCCAATTTAAATTTAATTTGACAAATTCTTAATTGGCATGACATTCCAAGTTAAAAGCCCTGGCCTCTCTGTGACCCTGTGGTGTCACACTGTAAATAAAACACACACATACTTGGCAGCTGCTGATGCTTGTGGCTTTGATATACTCTCATTAGCATAGCAACAGCGAGCTGACCATCCGCAAGGGATACAGTAACCCAGGCAACCAGAGCTGGCCAGTCCAACTATAGGAACCAGAAGCACAAATGGAGCCCTCCTCCCAGTCTACATCCTAACGGTTCAACACGCCACAAACATTTGCACCCAAGGGTAGAAGCAATGTTTGCAGTTGTTACTGTAAGTGAGAAAAACATCTATGTACACGAGTAATTTTACTTTCTGAATCATATGTTCCAGTTTGCAGATTTTTTTCTGAATGGCATCTAATATCTGCAGGCTCATGTTGCATTAAAGAGGACAAACTATGATCATTGGTGTGGTGATGGCGCTTAGATAAGATGCTTGCCTTTGGTGTAGGAGACCTGGGTTCGATTCTCGCTGTGACCCTGAGCAAGACATTTAACCCCTCGTTGCTCCACATGACATGTATAGCAATTGTAATTCGCTTTGGATAAAAGCGTCAGCTAAATGAATAAATGTAATTCCCTAAATAAGTAGTACATGAAGGGTTCATTATGCTTGAAACAAACTATTTCATATACCCATGTTGTATGACCAGATGTGAAAGTGTTTACACCTGTTCTGACCCTCCACACTCCAAGGCTTCTTCCTGATGCAGGGATAACGGAGCGCAATCTGCAGAGGCCTTTGTCGGTTACACAGACAAAAAAATGAGGGAAGTCAAGTGACGTGTGAAGAAGGAAGACAAAAGCTTAAAACCCTGCAAACCTTCACAACTGCACACATCTGGCCATTTCAATAGTTTTAAAAATGGTTGGAAGGAACCCATCAAAATTCTGAAAGAGGAAAGGTGTGAGAGGATGCTGTTTAACAATCTGCCAGGTACTTTGAAGCATACTGCTGTTTTTTCCCTTGCATGTCATTCATTTGATGATGTTTGTTTACTTTAACGTTAGAGCTTAACAATTGCAATTTTATTGAAATCACAATATGGTCTACTGCAGTTTCAAATCGCAAGAGGCGCAATATTTGTTAAAGGTGATATGTGTATCAAAATACCATTTTAAATTAAATACTGTGATTCTGCAGATCCTACTGGTGCATAAATAGACTCCATGGCTTAGACTTTGGCTTAGAAAAATATATCGCTTCAATAACTATTTAAATATGACAGGCTTGTTGTCTCACTTTCTACAGTACTGCAAAAAACATGCTGCCTTACTGAGGCTAATGTGCTTTTGGCCAGCAGACACTGGATTTTGCCATATTTCAGCAGGGCAGTACTTGTTGCCATGCATTGTACATTGCATGAATTTGGGGGTGGAGATTCTGAGGGAGCACTGAAGTGAGGGGTGCATTTGTCGAGCAGTCCAAATATCAACAACCTTTCTGTAGAATGGTAACTTATTATTATGCAATTCTGCGGTCTCCTACATAGCGCTTCATCATTCTCTCTGGTAGCAGCCAGTCACGGCCATCATCTGTCTTTGAACGCTACCTTTGGCCCGAGAATCAAGCCATCCTCTATGCTCAAGGGCCATGAGTGCCCTGTTATGCGTCGTAACTGCTGGGTTTTTGTAAGACTTAGCTGTGGCAACTCAAATCAGCATGTATAATTCAAATAGCCTCACTCAGGTCATCTAGAGCACTGGCAATACGTGTTCAGCTGGGTCCTCCTACTGGCACTTCCACATAACGATGAAGGGTTGTCCTGGGCGTTGGGGGTCCCTACTGCTGCTCTCTGCCTTGGGCTTTCCATGTATGGATATGGATGGGCAGGGAGGTGCTCTCCCTACCTTATGGCTTTTCCACGTAGGCACGTGGAAGGGCGGTGTCGTGTTTTGGGGGGTTCTTTACTGCGGGTCTCTGCCTCGGGCTTTCCATGTATGCACATGGATGGGCAGGGAGGTGCTCTCCCTACCTTATGGCTTTTCCACATAGGCACGTGGAAGGGCAGAGAGGTGTGCTCGGGGAATTGATTGGCCCGAATGCTAACATGAGCCGCCGCACTGTCGCGCTCTGGGCGTCATGTCGCTGTGCGCAGATAGAGCTAGTTCCTGTCCTCCTTCCCTCTGCGTCTGCATGATTCAGTGCAGGTAACAATGTGCAGATTGAAGTTACATGGCAATCTAAGCTTAACATTTAGTCTTTAGACAGCTTTCATTTAGTCTTCAGACATGCTTTCCACATAGGCATGTGGATGGGCAGGGAGATCCCAGAACAGAGCCATACCGCCAAATATAATTTTGCATTATCATTTTTTGTCCTGACTGAAATGGGTTGACCATGCTTAAAAAAACAAGCTAACTAGGCTTACTAGGTTGCAGAGATGGGGACTCGAGTTTGAGACTCGGACTCGAGTCCAACTTAGGCCCCAGTGACTTCAGACTCGACTTGAGACTCATCCTCGAAAGACTTCAGACTCGACTCGGACTCGAGGTGCGGGACTTGTGAACGATGTTTATTTTTAGGAAATATCTGATGAGCTTGATGTTTTTCCCCTCCCTCCGTTACCTATAACCTACATAACATGTATTATCAGCTGTGCAAGGCCACACGTGAGAGAGGACCACAAACACCGGCAGCTGCTGTGTCATTCATCATCATCTTAGAACAAGGCCCAAACAAAGACGTGCTGAACAATAATAGTGTTGACTTACAGTAGGCTAATTAATAAGCTGTCATTAATTGCATTGCACATTACATGGTTGTGCCCTGTAAGTGAAAAACAGGTTACAGTTACAGAATTCCTAATAGCTATGCAGTGTTACAAGCAACCTGGATTGAATGCAGCAGGTGATACAACATTCATTATAACCACAAGTGACTTGAGACTTGACTAGGACTCTAGCTCAGAGACTTGACTTGGACTCTTGCTCAGAGACTTGAGACTTGACTTGGACTCTTGCTCAGAGACTTGAGACTTGACTTGGACTCTTGCTCAGAGACTTGAGACTGGACTTGTGAGCATCTCTCTAGGCTGCTTGCTTCAGATTTAATGGACTAACATGAGAGTGGTATTGATCTTCTGATCTAAAGGTGAATGCACTTGTTTCCAAATGTGAAAACATTTTGAATGAGCCACTTACTACTTTTTTTTTGGAGTTTTACACCATTTTTGACTCCAGTTCTATTTTTATCCTCTTTACAAGGGACATTTCAGTGGGATATTTCAGTAATTTCTCCTTCCACTTTATACCTTACACCTCAAATATAGACGCTGCACTGGCAGATGGAGCAGTGTCATTCTCTCTCGATCATTTGGCATAGAAACGTTGCAGAATTTTTGAAATGCATATGGTGGATCCTGCACAGATGGGATATCACACTGACAATTTTTTCCCACCTGCCTGACACACACACACACACACACACACACACACACACACACACAAGGCTGAGCGGTGGAGGTGGTAGTGCTATAGTTAATTAGAATTTAACATATCATACTGCACTTTCTCAGTACCTCTGTGTGTGGGGGGGTTAATTGTGTGGGCAGAGTGACTAGCTACATAGCTGTTTGTGTTGACCCAATACAGAAACACAGGCTATATATGGGAGCTTCTAATAATAGAGGCACAAACAGTCTGGAAAATCCTCTGTACAAGCAGAATATAAGTGCTTTAACTACATCTCTGGGTAAGTAAAGAGGCAGTGGGAGAGAGCAGGAGAAATAGGAAGAAGATGGAGAAAAAGAGGATTTGTTTTTACCCTCAGTTAGCTCTTTGTGATTGTGAAAAGTGGCGCTTTTCTGTTTTGGATGGTGATATAGCAGCTTTTTCCGTGCCGCATTTGCCTCTGTGCTCTTTGTGTGCAGCTGTGCAGACCTTCTGCAGTCCTCCCAATGACACAACTCTTTAATGAGCATATCGATCAGTGTTTCTCACACCTTCATTTCCCCCACACAGAGAGAGAGAGACACAGGGAGCGGGAAGAAGAAAAGCAAAGGGGGAAAAAGCAATGAAGAGACGAAAGCTTTAGAAAAGCTTTAGACTCACAAAGTGGGGCTTTTTTTCTAAAGACCGCAGGGGAGTCGGCTTTGTGCCTGTAAAATTCAATTTACCTTTTCTCAGATGGGCTATACTGCGGCTTGTATTGAAGCACACAACTCATAAGCTGCTCTGAATGTGTGTGTTTCTACTCGTACTGTATGTGCGTGCACAGCCGTGAAAATACATGGTTGTGTGGTTGTGTGTGTCTGTGTGTGTATAAGCAGGTGCTTGTGTGCTCATTTGTTTCATTTCATTTTGTGTGTGTGTGTGTGTGTGTGTGTGTGGGGGGGGGGGAGTAAAGCAGCAGTGTAAGCCACCCTGGTGTGAACCTGGGATTTCTCTCGGAGCTCCGTCTCGCTCCAGTCGCTTCTCTGCATCAAATTACCTCACCATCTCCACCCAC